CAAAGGGAGTCCAAGACAGCCAAGGCTACACAGAGTGAAGAGTTTAAGTTAGCCTGGGTTTTGAAATAAAGAGCCATCTTGACTGGGAGCTGAATTCAGGTACCAGGAAATATCACAGAATGTACAGCTGGCAGAGAACAAAGTTAACTCTCCTAGCAACAGCCTCCAGGAAATAATACAGAATAAATGCTTCATAGAAAATAGAGACAAACTCCCTGGCAATAATCAATGTGAATCGGTTGGAAATTGGGTGGGAAAATCCCCCCCCCCCAATGTTTCAGATATAGTTTAGAAAAATAGCCTTTGTGCCATGGAAACCCCCTGCTCAGAGACTTTCCTTTTAAAAATCCTGTTCACTCAGAGTTTGAGGTCCCACTTCTCTACTGTTGCATCAGTGAGACTTGGGTCCCGAGTAATAGAGCTCTCTTGCAATTGCATTGAGTCATCTCCTGGTGGTCTCTGAGGGTCCCGTGAACCTGGCATTACAAGAAAAACCCTGTCTCGAAAACAAACAACAACAACAACAAAAAACTCAAAAGACAAGAAAGTAAATGTTTCCAAAAGAAGGATATTAAGTGACACCTTTCTCTGTGGGGCTAATAGAAGGTGAATGAGCGAGCTTGACCTGGGGAAGCAAGTGATGGGTTTGCAACAGGGGCTGTGCCAGAGGTAGCTGGTCCCATCAGTCAATGTGCTTGGCTGAGAGCAGGCCCATGCAGGTGAGAGAGGTATGAGTGGCCTGGAAATGCATGAAAAAAACAGACAGAAGAGACACTTTAAACATGAGCATTGACACATGAGCTGTTCAGGGGCACGGTCCCTGTCAGAGAGGAGAACAAGAACAGCTGTCAAAGGAGCAGTGGCGGGGGCTGGGGACATGGCTTGCTTGGTAAACAGCTTCCTGTACAGGCGGGAAGACCTGAATTTAATCCCAGGATATCAAGTAAAAAGCCAGATTTGGTGGCGTGGGTGGACCCTTCACGGTTGCCTCTGGTCTCTGCACACAAGCATGTACACACACATGGAAGTCCCCTTTCACCGAGTACCTGCATCTCCACACCCAGATCCTTGCGCTTGATTGTGATCAAAGCCTGTTGAATCAACTAAGTAGTTTATGTATAAACAAGACCGAATAAGGACAAGGCAGAGGGGTGTGGCAAACAGGAAAGGTGTGAAAACTGGCATGGCGGCTTGTGGTCAGACACAGACATGTGCTGTTGATGGAGCAGTGTGTGCCAGTGCGGGAGGCAAGAATGCCAGAGAGGCTGAGACAGGAAGGGTTTTTCTTACTGATGCCAAAAGTCAGGGTCAATGTGGGGCCCGATGGTAATTTTCTTTTTCTTAAAAATTTCTTTTAGATTTATTTTTTTTTATTTTACATACGAGTATTTTGCCTGGGTGTATGTGTGTATTGTGTGTGTGTGTGTGTGTGTGTGTGTGTGTGCACCATGTGTGTTGCTGGCAGAGGTCAGAGGTCAGGTATCAGATCCCCTGGAACTGGAGCCACGAATAGTCTCGGACCTCCACATGGATATTGGGAATCAAACCTGAGTCCTCTTGAAGAGCAGCCAGCACTCCTAACGGCTGAGCTGCCTCTCCAGCTCCCTTCACTGTAGTTTTCACTGGAAGTGTAACATCAGGTTTTTATTATCAAAAGTTCTGAGAATCCACACACTCAAATACCTGTGTGTATATGATGGGCGGGGGGGGGGTGGCCACATGCTGACCAGGGATCTGTGTCAGCTGTTGCTCTCAAGGACTCCCCACCTGACTTGTCTGGGACGGCTCTCTTTGAGGTCTCGCTGGCCAGTGGGCTCCTGCCGGCCACCGGTCTTCACCTCCCTCTGGGATTGAAGGCTCCTGGTGCCACACCCACACTCGTGCTGACAGCCTTACCCACGGAGCCCTGGCCACAGCCTCCAGATGATTATTTTCTAGTAAAGTCTAAATTTAATCAACACTAGATCCTGGCAGGGATCAGCCTCATCTCAACTTCTCCTTATCCTCGCTGGAAATTACCTGCTACTTTGGCTTCTTTCGTATTGAAAATAAAGTACTGCAAATATTTTCAAATGTCGTTATGATTGCTCATTACACTCAACACTTGTTCCTTTAGCATATCAAATTATTTCTTCTGGAATAGTTTTTGTTTGCCTGTTTATGTTTGTTTTTTTGTTTTGTTTTTCCAAAGACACATTTTAACAATTTCAACAAGTCTATGGATTGCCTTTAAGTTCTTATAATTTAAATTTCATTATTTTGCATTTATCATTATGACTGCTTGGCCAGGTACAGATTCTTATATTCTTTCTCTGTTGCTTTTTTTCTTCTTTTATTTTTTTAAATTATATCATTCCCCCACTTCCCTTTCCACCCTCCAACCACTCTCATAAACCTTCCCTTATGCTCTCTTAAACTCAAGGCCTCTTTTTCTTTAGTTGGGGTTGCTATTTTGTATATGTGTGTGTGTTTTTGTATAACCTGCTCGGTCTATCCAGTGTTACTGGTATGTTATATACAATAGGTAATGAGGTAATCAAGGCTGACCATTTGGTATTGGATAAGGAACTGGGGCCCTTATCCTTCGGGAGGACTTCTCCCTCTCTCAATATTAAGTTTTATTATTTGCTATCTGTGTGTGGGTGTTTTGTCTGTATGTGTGTCTAGGTAGCACGTGTGTGAAGTGCACAAACAGGTCCACAGAAGGTGTCACATCCCCTAAAACGGAAGTTACAGGCAGCTGTGACTCTACATGTGGTTGCTGGGAATTGACCCAGGACTGCTGTAAGGGCAGCCAGTGCTTTTAATAGCTGAGGCTTCTCTCTAGTGCTCAGTTCTGACTGCTGATAAGTCATTGTTTCGGTTCTGTACAATTTAGCTTCACTCTTTCTAAATTTTATGTATGGTGTATCTATGAGCAGAGTTTCTTGTATATCAGTCTTTCTTGGTAGTCAACAAAGCTTTTAAATTCAGACACCTTTCTGATCCCTTATATTCTGTGGTTTTTGGAGCAGAACCTCATGCAGCCCCAGGCTGGCCTGGAACTCACTATGTAGCTGAAGATGACCTTGATATTCGACCTTTCTCCCTCAAGCACCTGAGTGTTGGCATTACAAGTCTGTGGCACCACCTCTGAGTTTATTCATTTTGGGGATCAAATCCAGGCCTTGGAGCACACTAGACAGGCACTCTATCAATTGAACGCCATCTCTCAACTGTTGCTATGTAGCAATGAGCCCTAGGTCAGCGTAGGACTCATGTAGCTGAGCCTATCTGCAAATTCGCAGTCCGGACTCATCCTCTGGACTTTAGGATTCTTCGTTTGTGCCAGCCTCCGAGTTAAGCACAGTTCCCTTTCATTCCTAGGCCTCAAAGCTGTATGTGGGCTCTCTTGGTGCTGTTGTTTGCTGCTGACCATGGAGGTCTGGGAGAGACTCCCATAGTCTAGACACGGAACTTCTGGCATTCCTTTTGTCATCAGAAGTCTTAAAACAATGGCATAGAGGTCAGAGAGGGGTCGAGTTAGTCTGGAGTGGAGAATATCTATTTAATCACAACATTTTGCAAAACTTTTCTGTGTTCCTTCTGGATCAGGTCTACGGAACTTGAAAGGCTGGGAGGTTATCCACGCTCTCTGTCATACCATGTAGCAGTGATTTTCTCATCCGGCTTCATGAAGGGAAAAAGCACTGTGTATTAAGCAGGTAAGATCACCCAGGAATGTCCTCCTTTATAGCAGGACATTTGGAGGAACATGACACAGAGGCTTTTTAATATTTTAAAGCTTGGACATTTAGCTGGGCAGATTCAGAGCCGGTTCTCTAGCTCAACCCAACTAATCCTGGCATTACGTCTCAAAATGTGGCTGGCTCCACCTCTCTGCCCCTGTTCATGTCCGTCCCGCTATCGAATCTCCTGACTTTGCTTTCTTCTCCCAGAGACCCTCTCTCTCCTGGAAGCTTCCATTCTCCACTTCCTGTCCAGCTATTGGCCATCAGCTCTTTATTACATCCAATAGACAAGTGAGGAAGGATGAATGTTTTTCAAAAAATGGGCCATAGAAAAAGCAATGCCAAGATCTGGCTAGTAAGCTAGCACTTCGTTCTCTGCCTGTTTAGCAATCAACAATCGAATACACAGACAGGCCTTCACCAATGTACTGCAACACTCCTTCATGTACAGATTAGGAGACCGTGGATCCAAGAGGACCAACATTTTCCTGGTGATTTTTAGTGGGAAATAGTAAGAGCTGGAGGGGACGGGAACTCCACAAGGAGAGCAACAGAACAAGATAATTTGAACACAGGGAACTTCCCAGAGACTCATACTCCAACCAAGGACTATTCGTGGAGATGACCTGGAACCCCTGCACAGGTGTAGCCCATGGCAGTTCAGTGTCCAAGTGGGTTACATAGTAATGGGAAGAGGGACTGCCTCTGACATAATCTGATTGGCCTGCTCGTTGATCACTTCCCCCTGAGGGGGGAGCAGCCTTATCAGGCCACAGTAGAGGACAATGCAGCCACTTTTGATGAGAACTGATAGACTAAGATCAGAAAGAAGAGGAGAACCTCCCCTATCAGTGGACTTGGGGAGTGGCATGCATGCAGAAAGGGGAGGGAGGGTGGGATCGAGAGGGGAGGAGGGAGGGGCTTATGGGGGGGATACAAAATGAATAAAGTGTAATTAATAAAAAAGTTAAAAAAAAAAAGAGAAAAAACACAAAACAGCCCCAAGCACAATTAAGTGAAGAAATGGGAGAGCAAAATGGCTGTTTGTAGACTACAGGATACTGTTAATTTTAATAACGTGGACATAAAAGATTTTGTTTGCACACAGGGAGAGGTTCTGCTCTTGGCTAGACAAAGCTCAATGTGTATCCATTCTAAAGCTATCACTCGAACAGTTCATCTTTTGATAAGGCTCATTATTGGTAAACAACACTATCGCCTCATGACTCCAACAGGGCATTACATCCTGAGGCAAGCAGGTATAAGAGCTGCAGCAACCTCACCTGGGACCACTCAAGCCGAAGAAAGCAGGATTTCTCTGTGCTGGTTCCAATCAGGTAATCCTCTCTGCAGAGGGGACCGTGGGCTTTCTGTGAGCGCCTGTTGTTTTTCTCTGCAGGCTACGCAGGGAAACACAGGTAACACTGCTGCTGCTGCTTCTGCTGAGGTGTTTGTTACAGTAATGTTTGATTTAAATTGCTTATTTTTTAAGATCATTATCCATATTAATTCTTCTGTGGCTGTGAGCACTTGTGTGCGTGCGCGCGTGAGTGCGTGGAAAGCAGAAGTTAAGGACCAGAGCTTCGGAGTCAGTTCTTTCCTTTTCATCTTTATGTGAGTCCCAGGGATGGAACTCAGGTCTCCAGGCTTGCACACCAGGCAACTTCTTCACCCTCTCAGCCCTGAGTTGTTTCTTTCCTTGGCTCTGGCAGCCAAGGTTGGGTTTGGTGGTGGCAGTGTCTGTGAAACTTAAGAGGAAGTTACAGAGTGTCAATGAATTTCATTTTGCTTCTCTGTAAAAGGCTTACTGACACTTGCTGTGTAGTTGAGTTACAGAGGTCAAATAAGACAAAAGGGCCTCACTGGATGGCTAAAATTCATTTAGTGTAAGGAAAGAAATGCTGGCCTCCCTTCCTCCAGCCGCAGCCTGACAGCTGAGTTCCAGCCATTTGCATTTCAAAGAGATTCAGGACTTTGAAAACATGGGGTACTTTTGAAAAGAATCTCAGCAAAAAAAAAAAGTGCAAAGTTCATGCAGATTTTCTTTCTTTAGTTCTTTTTTTTGAGACAGGGTTTCTCTGGGTAACAATGGCTGTCCTGGTACTCGCTCTGTATGTAGACCAGCTGGCCTTCAACCCACAGAGATCCACCTGCCTCTGCCTCCCAAGTGCTGGGATTAAAGGCATGTGCCACTAGTGCCTGGCCATGTGATAATTTTTAAAAATTAAAAGCAAATAGAAGACACATATGGTATATACTCACTTATATAGTCCTATAAGATAGGATAAATATGCTAAAATAGGTGTACCTAAAGAAGATAAACAAGAAAGAGGACCCGGGATAAGATGATCAATCCCCACTTAGAAAGACAAATGGGATGGACATGAGAAGTAGGAGAAAACAAGAAACAGGACAGGAGCCTACCACAGAGAGCCTCTGAAAGACTCTACCTACCAGTGTATCAAAGCAGATGCTGAGACTCATAACCAAACCTTCGGTAGAGTGCAGGGAATCCCATGATAAAAGGGGAGTTAGTATGACCGGGAGAGGACAGGAGCTCCACAAGGACAAAATATATCGGGGTACGGGAGTCCTCCATGAGACTGTTTCTCCAACCAAGGACCATGTATGGATATAACCTAGAACCCCTGCTCGGATGTAGCCCATGGTAGCTCAGTATCCATGTGGGTTTCCCTTAGAAAGGGGAACAGGAACTATTTCTGACATAAACTCAATGACTGGCTCCTTCCCCCCTCCCCGAGGGAGGAACAGCCTTGCTAGGCCACAGAGGAGGACATTGCAGCCAGTACTGAAGATACCTGATAAGCTAGGGTCAGATGGAAGGGGAGGAGGACCTCCCCTAGCAGTGGACTTGGAAAGGGACAGGGAGGAGATAAGGGAGGAGGGTGAGATTGGGAGGGAATGAGGGAGGGGGCTATGGCTGGGATACAGAGTTAATAAAAAGTAACTGATAAGAAAAAAATAAAATAAAATAAAAAAGAAATGTTTGCTCATACCTAAAAGCTACCCGTGGAGTTGAGCATCTTTTTATACAATGTTTAACATTTCTTGTGATTTATTAATTTACAGCTTTGTACATTTTTCTTTTTGTTGAGATGCTTCTCCCTTTTTAATGATTAATGAGACTGTTTTTTTTTTTAAATACCTCCCAGTGGTATGTCTCAGTTCATAATTTTCTCTCATCTTTTTTTTTTTTTTTTTTTTTTTTTCTTTTTACCCATCCTGAATGGGGAGGAGGGGGGACCTCCTCCCCATTCATCTGATCCTGTCAAACATTTCTTTTTAAACACCAAACTGAGTAAATAACACTTTTTTTTTTTACAAACTTAAGTATCATGGGATAGGAGGGCAACAGTCTTGAGGTCTACCAAAGGACTGGGTAGGCGAGCCTTCCAGAAGACGGGGTTTCAAAATGACATCGGGCTTTCTCTGTGAGTGCAGCAGGACACAAGAGTCCATACCAGACAGCAGAGGGACCAACCGAAGCACCACAACTGCAAGAGCATTCGGAGCAGCTGCTCTGCGTCTGGGAAGTGGCTGGGTTATCAGGCAGAGGGATTCAGTTTATGTGGTGCTCCACACAGGCGCCTGAAGCTGCCTGCCTGCTGCTCACCAAACTGCTTATCTCTGGGAAATGGGCTCACTTCGTATTTCTTGGGCTGTGCTGGTATTTCAATGATTTGTAAGGTTTTTGATAATGAAAGGGAGACTAGCAAAGCTTTTTCTTTTTTCTTCTTTCTTTCTTTCTTTCTTTCTTTCTTTCTTTCTTTCTTTCTTTCGACATCAATAAGGTTTAAGAGTCAGTCACAGTTTGGTAGCACAGAGCAAATGACCCAGGCTTTCTTGTCTGTAATTGTATTTGGGACATCTGTGACATCTGTTTACTTTACTTCAACATTTAGAAAAGAAAAAAGAAAAAGTTAGCGTTGGAACCACTTTATTTCATTTCCTGAACTTTAGGCCTATTACCACCTGTGAGGCAACGTGCCCAGGTCGCCCTCTGCTGACTATCCTGGAGATAACATGGGAACTCTGGGTAGTTGAGGAGCTCCTTACTCAGACTGCTAAGTCCTCCTTGGCTGCTGTAGGTAGGGTTAAGTTGTGGGCTGTAGTTAGGGCTCTGGCATGGGTTCAGAAGGGCTTGCAGGTAAGAATAAAATCCCATAAATAAAAAGGCCTCGATCTCCACATTAAACAGGAGATTATTGTTGTTGAAAAACCCTAATCTACTTGGAAATATTTGATGTGGTAGCTAAATTTCAGCGTCCTTCTCATTGGTTCAAATTGCAGGTCTAGGAGATACCAGAGACTTTAAGGAGAAACTGGAAAGGGCTCCGAGGGCCTTGAAATCAAAAAGAGGAAGATGTCTTCTAAATGTGTGCGGCTGCTCTTTCTGCTGAGCTGTGTGGCCGGCCCCGAAGTCCTGAGTGGTAAGTTCGGTCAGTTGTTGGAAGGCAGCTACAGGCAGTAAGTACACAGTCCACGCAGAACCCTGTTCACTCACTCATCAGGCATTTCAGCAAAGAAATATCAAAATAGAAAATGAAAACTACTGTGGCACGTCAAAGGTTCTGCAGTCAGACAAAAGCCAGCCCAAGATGGCTATGAGCCACACTTAAATCAAGGATTGCAGAAAAAATTTTGCAAGTTTGTTGTGACTGTTTGAAGAACCTGACAAGCATCAGACTGTCCATGTCTGATGGCTATAATCACAACATCCAAACATTTATGCACTCTTCTCTTGTCTGAGCGTATTACAAAGTCCAGTTTACCGGGGACCTGCAAACCTTCCCATGAGCGTGCAAAGGTTTACTGCATACTCACGGACTGAGCGCCAAGGACGGGGAGTGTGCCAGTGGCACTGTGGAACCTGCAATAGAGAATGTGTAGCAAGGAAAGTTAGAGTGTGCTGAGAAAAACACATGCGCGCGCACACATACACACACACACACAGAGCACAGAATGTCTGGACTGGACCAAGAGGAAATGTGGGCCCCTCTGGTGCCCCTGCTTTGTTGAATCTATGAGTAAAACAAGGGCAGAGAAAGACACTGTTGCCAAAAGGCACCCTGCCGGACTGTGTGGTACTCTGGCCAGTTCCTAACCTTGGTCATTTTCCGCAGTCCCACACAGCCTCACAGGGAGTTGGAGGCCGCCATGTAAAAATTGCTTGCATGAGCTTCACTTCAGTTGAGAGAAGAGGCCATTAAAAGATCCACTGAGGCCTAAGACTCTCGAATGAGCTTGGCCAAGGGCATGAATTAATGCAAGGAAATATGAGGAGAAGCAGGGCCTTTGGGGGCCTCAGTTGAAGCCTGTGGTCCTTGCCATCACCCAAGCTCGACATGGCTTTCTGTGATACTCACTGCCCCTAACTCCACACCTGCCTCCAGCCACAATTCTCTCACCATTTCTGGCTGCTCAGGACCCCAAGAGTTCAACCACCATTTCTGCACCCTGCAAGAATGTACAGAACGCTGGAATTGCCCTCAACCCCTGCTGCCTTCCAGCCATTTCTATATGCTGCTTGGGGGCTGCCTTGACCTCCGGCTTCTCTTAAGGACTTGACAGTTAGCCTGGCTATATTCTGGAGAATGAGATAAGACTTTCCAACCCCTTTCCCAGGACTTCCCTAATCTCTTTGGTCTCTCCCCAGGAGTAGATGGAGCCAAAACATATACCGTGAGTCCTCCTGTGGCTCTTTTCCAGACAGATCTTCCTCCCAGCTGTAGAAAAACTTTTTGTTTATTGTTACATTCTTGAGAACTGTGCTTAAGACAGATCCCATATATTCTTTGTGGAAAAGCTTATGGAAAAAGTCTAATCTTGAATTTAAAATAGTTGTGGAGAACTTGGAAATTGATTGTCTCTTTCAGCAGAGGCTGATGGCCAAGATCATAGTTCTGTTGTATGCACAATGGTTTCTTTCCCTGGCCTGTGGCTGCCTGGGCCTCAATGAGGAGAAACAGAGGAACATTTAGAAACAATAAAAAGTGCATCTGGCTAATATCTTCAGAAACATTCCACCTAGTTATGGTAATAAAGGTGGTGGCTTTTAATAGTTATAATTCGCTGGGTCTGGTGATACATGTCAGGAGTCCTGGCTACTCAGGAGAACAGAAAAGAGAGATCTCAGAGCCTGACCTGCCTGGCCTACACAGAGTTCAAGGCCACTCTTGGAAGCTTAAACAGACCCTGTCTCAGGTTTAGAAAAAGGAAAAAAAGCCACAAGGCTAGCCTGTATCTCTAAAGCTCAGTGGTAAGGCCTTTCCATTATGCACCAGGCCAATCCCCAGTATCACCCAAGAAAGCTATAGTGTTACCCAGCTGTCATTTATCCGACAACTGCTCTGTGCTGGACAGAATGCTCAGCACTAATGCACATGCTAACCATAATGCCTTATGTATGAATTATTCCACAGACCCTCTGGGTAACCCTGTGGGGGAAATATGCATTGTTAGTTCCTTGTGCAGACAGGAAACCAGAGTTAGGAGAGTAGAAAGACAGCTAGAGGTGTAGAGAGCCTGGGTGCTAGGACCTGTCCCTTCTTGCCACCCCATGCCCAGCAATAAGGAGCGGGGACACCTTTGGTAGAAACACGAAAGACCCTAGGCTGCCAAGAAAGCAGTGGCTCTCCCCAAAACTGCATTCCTGTCTAGTAGTGGCCTCAGCAAGCTTCCTTATCTGGACCATCAGTACCCATTCCCATCTCTCTGGGAGAGTCTGGCTGTTAAGTAGGGAAGCCTGAATAGATGAGTAGCTTGCAGGTTTTTGTTTTTTAAACATGGCTTGAGCATGACTAAGACGCCTGGAGCCCCAACTCAGAGCCATGAAGTCTAGATCATATCTATCTTCTTATTTGCTGTGGGAATGCGAAACGTAACAACTGCTTTATGCCTTGTTTCTTTATCTGGGACGTGGTGGTACTGGTGGACGTGGTGGAACTACGTAATGCGGTGAGGGTGGGTTCTAGAGTATTAGCAAACTGCCCAGAGCAGGACCTGGTACCAAGGACTGCTGGGGAAAGGTGTGGCACGCTGGAAGGCACAGCTCAGGGGCTTAGTTGGAAGCATTGCCAGGAGCTGAGATGTTCCCACCAGGGGGCGCGTATCCGTAGCTACAATAATGTTAAGCTAAGGTGAGAAAGAAAGATGGAGAAGAGCAGACAGGAGGCGAGGATGCGGGGTAACGGAGCAGAAGTGGCACACAAAGGCACGGAGAGGAGCAAAACAGATAGACGAACTGAAAAGACAGAGAGGTCGGCGCGCACACAGACACAGAGACAGAAGCAGAGAGACTAATGGGAGAGACAGAGGGCTGATTGCTTGGCTGGAGGGATCTTCGGTCTCTGTACTCTGAACCTCTGGATTCCCCGCTGTGACCCAAGATGGCTGCTCTCGCACCATCTCAAGTCGGGGAAAGGGAATGGCATGGTGGGGAGGATCTGTCCCTCACTCCAGGTCACGTGAGAGGACAGAGTGAACTGTGCTGGAGCGCAGGGTCCTGTGGGGCTGGTCCTCACACTCCTTTGCAGGGGGCTGTACAGGATCGTCCACGTGACCAGCCCCCAGGCCCTCACCCTTAGGGCTGGAGATTTTCGGCTTCTGCTGCCTCTCTTCCGGAACATCCTCTCGAGCATTAGGTTAAAAGGTATGCAGCCTGTGTCAGTTACGTTTCTCGTTGCCGCGGTACCCCACGAGAAACAGCTTCACGGGGGGGAAGGGGGTTTCTTTGGTATACAGTTTGAAAGAGTCCACAGCCCTACAGCTGGATCTTATGGAGGAGGCGCTTTCTCCACCGAGGTTCTCTCCCCTCGAATGACTCTAGCTTGTGTGAAGTTGACATAAAACTCACCAGCATATCTCTCCCTAAAAAGCTGTTGGCTTCCAACGCTATATACTTTCACAATTCAGTTTCTATGAGAGAGAAAAAAAGCTTTGGTTTCATTGGGGCTTTGATGCATGCCTATAATCCCAGCACTTAGGAGGTTGAAACAGAAACATCTGTTGGTGTCTAGCCTGGGCTACACAACAGGACTCTCTTTCAAATAACATCTTTTTTGTTGTTGTCTTTAAGCAAAAGAAAAATATTTAGTGTCAAATTCAAAACTTCAATTTCCTTTTTTTTTTTCCCTTTCCTTTGCTTTTTTTTTTTTTTTTCTCATAAAAAAGTTAAGGCTTCTCAACTCTAATTATTTGTTACCAAGTTTCTAACTTCTCACTTTTACAAATTTATCAATTAAAGATTGAAAGGGTTCCTGGTAGAAACATGTATTTTTTTTTCCAGGCCATAGAACTGAATCTAAAGAGTAACTTTTCCTTCTTCCTCCTCCTCCTCTTCTTCTTTTTGTATTTTTCAAGGTAGATTTCTCTGTGTTTGTTGGCTTACCTGACCTCAATTATGTAGACCAGGCTGGCCTTGAAATCACAGGGAGTTCTGCCTCTAGAGTGCTAGGATCAACATCGTGCACCACCAGGCCTGGCTAAGAGTAGCTTTGCTAGTCACAGTGTGAGATGCTTTGTCAGATAACCACCCTGTCCTGTTTCATCCTTCTGAATTATTTTGAAAAAACAAAACATGAGTAAACTGTTTAGCCGGACGTCCCACGCTTGGCAGGCCGGTGGCGGTGGAAGCCGTGGAATTACGTGGCTTCCACTTAACAGCATGTAAAACTGTGTCCGTCCTTCTAATGGGAGAAATAAATGAGGGTCTTTGCTGCTTGGTGTCAGTATAGGTCAGGTGATCCTCTGAGCCTTTTTGTGATCTACATTGTCAACCCGACTAAATTTGGCATCACTTAGGAGACACGCCCTTGGGTGTGTCCAGAGAAGTTTAAGTGCAGAAGGGATGTTCACCCTGAATGTGGGGAGCACCATCCCATGAGCTGGGGTCCTCGTTGAATAAAGAGAAGGAAGTGAGCTGAGCACCAACATGCATCTCACTCTGGTTCCTAACTGGAGATGGGACATCCTTAACTCCTACCTCATGTTCCTGCTGAGATTATAGCAGTTCATCAAAGCCCTGAGGAAACCGAAGCTTTTTCCCCCTCAAGCCAAAATAAAACCTTTTTTTCTCCAGTTGCTTTTGTCAGGTATTGGTCACAGCAATGAGAAAAAATAATTACTTTACTCCCATTCCTTAGCTCAGTTAGTGATTATCCATCATTCGCAAATTCAATCACGTATGCGATGGATCTAAATCTGTAAGAAGCATCCTGTTCCAAATCAGCTGAGGCTGGTTCCTGGGAGGATGCTGCTAGTGAGGGCAAGAAGCCTGAGCTGAGAGAAATCGTCTTAGTGCTAATGAGCAAGGGCTGGTAGCTGGCTCTGTTGTTAGAGGGTGTGTCTAGCATGCACACCCTCTAGGTGTTTGACTTGGGTTTGACCTCCCACTGCTTTGGAAAACTGAGAAGGTGGCAATGCCTGTACTCACAGCACTTGGTAGATTCAGGCAGAAGAATCAGAAGTTCAAAGTCATCCTCAGCTACATAGTGAGTTCACAGCCAGTCTGGGCTGCTTGAGATCTTGTCTCAAAAAAAAAAAAAAAAAAAAAAAAGGAAGGAATGAGGAGGAGAGGGAAGGATGGAGGGAGAAAAGAGAGGAAGGAAGAGGAAGAGGGAAGAGAGGAGAGGAAAGAAAGAGTGAGAGAATGGCAGGAAGCTTATCTGGAATCTGTGAAGGCCCTGGGGATTTATAGGCAGGAGATGAAACAGTACAAAGGGTGGAGTAAATGAGTGAGGTAGTCATCTGGCTGGGCAAAGATAAAGACACTTGGAACAACTCTAGTCTGTGGACATCACTGTGGAAGGCCTTTGCACTGGTCTAGAGTGTAGGTGTGCAGACACGTCACAGGACTCAGATTGCTAGCCTGGTGTTCTCTTGGTCATCAGCCCATCTTCCATTCTACTCACCTCTTCTTTATCGATTTCCAGCTCCACAGGCAGAGGCATTTGCCAGTTGACCAGTAGGAAATTCGAGCCTTCCTGAGTCACAGCCTCCTTTGCCACAAGGCCTCTCTCATTCTTGTTGGCCATGCTTGCTTTACAGATCTCCTGTACTCAAGGCCAACTTAGGGGCTTGCTATTTCTGCACATACCAGCCACATTACTTCCTCCATCTCCAGCCCATCCCTCCTCCTCGCTGTTGTTGCAGAACCCACCCATGATCACATTCCAGCTACGTTGCCATTTATTCCACCTACTTCAAGAAAGGCTTTTTCTCCTAATAATGCCCCTAACTCCCAGATTATGTCTCTGTCTACTCAACAAAGCCCTCCTGTGTCATTCTACCAGTCTCTTGAGTGAGTCCACTGGAGAAATGCAGCCATTGATTGGCATGGAGGCCTCAGGGCACAAACAGAGCCCAAACTCCAATGGCTACAAGACTCCTTAATTCCTTCTCTGACCGCAGGGCCACAGCAATATTTGGGTTTCTTAGAATTACTGTTTGTTCAGAGTGTTCAAAAGTTCCAGAAAGCTTGATTCCTTCTCTCCAGTAAATAGCCACCCTGGTAAAAGGTTCTTTGATGAAATCTGAGAGAAGAGTAATAATAATTTTTTGATGTTTTCTGTCTCTCTGTCTGTCTGTCTGTCTCTCTCTCTGTATTTTTAAGACAGAATCTCATGTAGCCCAGGCAGTCCTCAGACTCATGAGGTAGCCAATGTTGGGCTTGAATTCTTCATTCTTCTACTTCATAACCTGAGTAAAAATTACAGACCTTCACACTGGTGTATGCGGTGTTAGGACTCAAGCCCAGGGCTTTGTGACTGCAAGACAGGCAAGACAGGTATTCTATCAACTTACCTAGATCCCTGGCCCTGTACAGTATACATTTTTAGCAGCTCAGCAGGGTCCTTCTGAGAGAGAGACTCTCCCTTTATTCAAGGTGTTCTAGCTCTAAAAACTGTCTCATCGCGGTATGACAGGTTTCTGGCATCACAGTCTGTAACTGCCTTTTATTTCTGTACAGATATCTTGAGACCCAGCTGTTCTTCGGGATGGTTTTACTATAGGTCCCACTGCTATGGATACTTCCGGAAGCTAGGAACCTGGTCTGATGCTGAGGTAGGAAGTCTGTGCTATTGGTTTCTTTTAGAGGACGGGGCCAACTGGAGCACCTGATCATATTTAACTTAAATTTAAGGGTTCTTCCTGGGCTCCCAGGAGAAGCCTCATGGTTGAAATGAAGAGAAGTGAGGTGTGCCCAGCTCCTTCGATTGTGTGAGCAGTGGTGATGGATGTGTGCTCAGACCCGCAGTGGGCTGCATTGACACAGAGTGAGTTAGGATGTAGCCAGAACCCCGAGAAAGCTATAAATGCACAGATCAAAGGAGCATGAAAGAGTTGAGGGACTTGTGCAATGAATAACTGAATTCCTGTATGAGGCTTATCAGAGAGAGCATTGTGGAAACACCTAAAACAGGTCTCCAAGATGCGAGGCAAAATGCAAAGAAGCAGAAAAATGAGGTTGTCCTCACTTGACACAACCCACACAGGCCTGGATTTTATTCTCTCCAGCTATGCATAAGATCTATCCAAATATCTAGCCCAAGTAAGTAGAAAATTGATGTTTCTGTCTCTCTAGCTTGTGACTGATTGACACATATAGATACAATGCGGCATGATCCAGGGCCAGAATGGTCCCAAGCTTCTTGTGTGTAACTCAGTAAGGAAAGGACAGGAACAAGGGTGAAGTCCTCACCATGTGACAGCTAGTGAGTTGTCAGACTGTGTTCTCTGACTTCCAAATCTGTGAGAGGACAGTTTGTGGTGGAGCATACCTTCAATCCTAGCTCTTGGAGCTGAGACAGGGTGGTCATGAGTAATCTGAGGCCAGCCTTGGCTACATAGGGATGTTTGCCCTCAACAAACAAGTGATGTGTGAGAGAAATGCGTGGTTGTGAAATCTAAATAGAAAATTTCATTGCAGTGTGAGCAAATATAATCTCTTTTTGATTAGACCAAGAGAAGTAGCAGAGATAATTCAGGGAGCAAAATGTCTTATTAAGTGGAGTCCTGAATAACTGGGGCCAGAGAACGTGAGGGAGAAGAGCATGAAGGCTAGAGGAAAAGTGAGAGCAAGAGACTCCAGATTCCATAATTATAAGGAAATTGTGCCTCAGAGAGATGAAGTGTTTTGTTAGCTTTGGCCCTAAGTCTCCTGCGAGCCACCGCTTCCTCTGAGACCTGACACTGTGGTCTTTTGTCTTGTCTGGTGACAGAAATCACCCGTGGGTTTAGAACCCAGCTTCTGGAGTGAGAGTCGGGGGTGAATCCATCCCGCTTGGCACATTAGGGTTCCAAGGAGAGAGCTGTGCACGTAGCATCATTAATAGGACCTCTCCTTGCAGCTGGAATGTCAGTTACACGGAAATGGATCCCATCTGGCATCTGTCTCGAATCAAAAGGAAGCCCACGTCATATCAAAGTACATAACTTGGTATCAAAGAAACGTGCCTGTGTGGATTGGCCTGCATGACCCACAGAAGGTAACCCCGGGTTTGGCCCACAGAGCCTCTTGGGAAACCCAGAGTGGTAATCCTTTCATGAGAAGTGGCCTTCTGGCCTACAAACAGGAAGCAAGTAGAAGCCTTCCAGCTGAGCACCACCAGTGATGAAAGCCAAGGCCTAAAGGTCAGGGACCCCATTCTTGCCCTCAGTGGAAGAAATAATTAAATAGCTCCGTTTTGTGTAACTTTTAATTAAGGTCCTCCTTGATCTTCAGACACAAAATAACTAATTTTTTAAAACCTTTCCCCTCCCCAACAAAAAAAAAAAAAGAGAGAAAGAGAGACAGAGGGTTAGAGAAAATACATACAGACTGATCTTCTAAAAGATCCAGATTAATTTAATTGCCATTATGTCTTGATTAAACTTTCAGCTAACCTTTTTCTTAGACTCTGTCACTTTTTCATCATTCTTAATTACTTTCTCTGGACCCTTGTTTTTCTGTCCATTGGCACTTGACTGTGAGAAATGCCACATGGTATCTGTATATATGGATTTGGGTTGGGGCATCTATACCTAACTGAAATGGAAACAAATGAGAAAAAGCCCTACTTTCTGATTCTCATGGCATTGCTGGAGACACCAGTGTTCATATTCTTTATTCCATTAACATGTGGTCATCCTTTGGCAATTGCCTGTGAATTGTATCATGCTTTCCCTTTTGAGTATTGCAGAAAAACAAGCGATTTCATTTATTTTATTTTTTCGCTATAACTGTTATTCAGTTATTTGCTTAAAATGGCATTTATTTGACTTTCAAAATTTTTACATTTAAAATATTTTTATATTTTTCTGTGTGTGTGTGTGTGTGTGTGTGTGTGTGTGTGTGTGCCTACATGTATGGATATGCCTGGGGAGGCCAGAAGAAGGTATCAGGTATCCTGGAACTGGGGTAGCACAGTTATGAGCTGCCATGTGGGTGCTAGGAACCAAGCCTGGGCCCCTGGTAAAGGCAGCAAGTACTTCTAACAGCTGGGTGGCCTCCCCAGATCCTCTACTTTTGAGACAGGGTTTCACTATGTAGCTTTGGCTGACCTGGAACTCCCCATATAGAGCAGCCTGGCCTCCTACTCGGAGATCTGCCTCCCCGGGGCTAGGATTAATGACATGAGCCACCATACGTGGCCAATTTTTTTTTTTTCATTTTTATGTATTTACTTTGTTGTTAATCAAAACTGCTTTCGGAGACAAGCTATATATTTACATCTCTTTCTGTGAGCCATTTTTGTAGTTGGATTTTTTTTTTTACGTGTGTGACTGTGAGACACAGATGACAAATGTTCTAAAACTGTACCCTATATCTAATAATCAAGGAAATGCAAATTAAAATGATATAATTTAACTTAGATTACAACATTTTCCTTTGTATAATGAATAACATAGACTATTGTCCTTGTGCCCGGTCAGTGAGGATGTAAATTTGGACAAGTGGGCAGTTTTTAGAAAGTACTTTGTCAGTGGGTATTGATGACCTCAAAACAGTCACACCCTCTGGCCCATTTATTCTGCTTCAGGAATATATTATGAGAAAATAATTTTGAGAACACAGAGTGATTCTCAACAAAGGCAGTCATAGCAGTGTTTTTCATAATACTTGGAAATGAGAAACAATATACTCAGACGTCAACAGGAGGTTGTTAAGGTAGACTATGGTACCTCCTTATGTTAAAGGGGGGTTTAGAAAGCAACACAAAGACTTGAATGTAGATTTTAAAGAGCACAGTACTTCCAGTACAATGATAACCATGTTTCTATCAGAAGTAAATATGCTAAAACCCCTGTGATGATTTCCTCCACTCCTGAATGGAGAGGTGGCTTTTCTAATTTTGCTTCTTCGTACATTTCTATCCTTTGCCCCCAGGAAACACTTTTCAGGGGGCTGAGGACCCAGAGTAGCTGTGGACAGGTGAGCGAACTGAGTTGCACATTCCCTCTGTTTTCTGTCATTGCAGAACCAGTTATGGCAATGGATTGATGGGTCTGCACACCAGTACAGACCCTGGACTTCCAAGACAAAGAGTGAAGCCAGGCACTGTGCTGAACTGAACCCCAAGGAGAGTAAGTTCCCTGCACCCATTCCCTCTCCCCAAGCTGCAGCTCCATCCTTTAACCTATTAGAAGCAAAAGGAGTGTCCCTGTCCTCCTTCCCAACACTCCTTTCACCCAGCAACACTGCTTTACAGGACAGTGGCTTCAACATACAGTCTGTCAACCTCTGAACCCACTCAGTAGTCTTTGACAAACCAATATACCAATGAAAGAACCTTTTAACAACAATGGAGGGACGCATGAGGGGACAGTCTATGACAAAGGCCATCAGAGGCAAAACGATGGAGAAGGGAATCTCTTAGGCCATGCCTAGCCCACACTGCTGCTATGCAAAGCGATTTAGCCAGAGTACTGGCAAACCCACAGGCACAGTCTGCTAAAACAAGCCTGCTCATCCATGTTAACAGGAAAACGTGACTAGTTAGTACTACCCAAACCCACAATGAGCTATCCCAGGAAGCAGCAAGAACCTAGAGTCAACCAAAGAAAAGGTGGGCATTTTGTTTTCATTATAGTAGAAACTGTGTTATAAGAGAGACTCAGGCTGGAGAAGTGGCTCAGCAGTTAAGAACTTTGGCTGCTCCTCCAGAACACCTGAGTTTGATTCCCAGCAACCAGTGGGGTGTGATACCCTCTTCTGTCATGCAGGCATACATGCAAATAGAGTGCTCATACACACACAAAAAAATAAGTCTTTTAAAAAAAGAAGAGTAATTAAAAGCTGTAAAAATCAGCATACAAAAGAAAACATTCCAGCGACTCTCACACCTATGATATGAGACCTCCCATATCTTCCTTTTAGCCCAGCCAGCTTTGGGGAAGAGGTTGACCAGATGTTTTCCTAGGTCCCTTGCATCTTCATGGTTCTGGGCTTCTCACTGGATGAAATTCTCAAATCCTTTCCTGTGAGCAGGCTCCCACCTGGAAGGAGCCTGTGGCGTATCTGTGAGAACTGGGAGCCTGAGTCATTTTTTTCCATACCTTCCACCTTGTTTCAGTTTGGCTCTCAGAAATCAGGCTGAGACACAGGCTGCAGACACAAAGAAATCCAGGTGGGGCCTGGAGAGATGGCTCTGGGGTAAGGCACTTGCTGTGCAGGCACGAGAACCTGAGTTCGAATCCCAGACCCCACATAGAGCTGGACAGGGTAGTGTGTGTGTAATCCCAGCACTTCTACAGGAAGGTGGGAGGTGGATTTGAAGGTCAGCCACACACACGCTCTCACACACATGCACAGGCAGGCACACACACAAGGGGGTAGAGGAGAGCAGGGAGAGAAGGTAATTAATTTAAAACCCCAGGGAAAGGAACAATGCTATTGAAAAGGTGTCAAAGGGAAAAAAAATCTTAAAAAACAAACAAACAGTGCTATTTTATATTTGTGGATGGATTTTTTACCTGTGTATAGCCTGCATGAACTCTGCTCTCTGTGACAGGACCCATTTACTGTTTCCTTCCTGTTCAGGAAGAACTTCCGGGCACTTTGTTCCTTCTGGCCCTCTGTCATCCCTTGGGACTCTCCACTCTACATCATAATCTAAATGTTTTGTGACCCACTGTTTCACTTTGGGACTTTAAACTAGCACAGGCCTGTTATCCCAATACTTTGAGCTCATATAAAGTCCAAGGCCAGCCTGGACTGGATAGTGAGTTCAAGGCTGCCTGGGCAATGTAGTGAGACCCTGTCCTACAATAAAAACTAAGAAGAGAGCAAAGAATGTAGCTCAACAGTAGAGCAGCTGTGTAGCAAATGTGAGGGCTTGAGTCTCCTCCACCCCCATGGGTAAGCCTCTCTTGGTCACCTGAAGCTGTTCTGTGTAGTCAGTGGATATACCAAAGGACCCTCCCCAGTGACCTGGCAGGCCAGATCCGCCTGAGTTCCAGCCCAGTCTTATGGAGACATTTTCTCAATTGAGGCCCCCTCCTCTCTGATGACTCTAGCTTAGCGGTTTTCAACCTTCCTGACGCTGTGACCCTTTAACACAGTTTCTCATGTTGTGGTGAGCCCAGCCGTAGAATTATTTTTATTGCTACTTCATAGCTGTAATTTTGCTACGGGTTATGAGTTGTGATGTAAATCTCTGTGTTCTCCAATGGCTGTAGGCAACCACTGTGAAAAGGACCAAGACCCACAGGTTGAGAACCACTGCCAAGTTGCTATGAAACCAGTTGGTACAGCAGTTAAAAGCAATTTCTGCTCTTACAGAGGATAGACGTTTGGTTCCCAGTACCCAGATCAGGCAGTCACAACCTCTTATAACTCCACCTCTAAGAGACCTGATGCCCTCTTCTGACCTCCACAGGCACCCACACACATACACACACACACACACACACACACACACACACACACACACACACACGTATAAATAAAAGTGAGAAATAAGTCTTTAAAAAGAAGACCTAACCAAACACCACACGTAGGGGAGGCTTCCTGTGTCTGTCAGGCTCTGTTTCCTTCAGAGGGTGTAGGAGAGGAGCTTCTTCAGTTTGCAGTTATGTGAGAAAGGGGGTGTTTGTGTCAGTCAGGGATCCCCAGAGAATGAGCAGTGGAGGACGGAGAGAGTTGGGGGTTGCTGGAAATTCCTGCAAGAATTGATAAGGAAATGCGAAGCGGAGAGCAATCAGAGGCAGAATTCTCTGCTTCAGGTGGCCCTTTCTCTTAAGGCTTTCGATCTATTAGATGAGGCCCGCCCACCCACATATTGTAGGGTGATCTGCTTTATTCTAAGTCTGTTTATTTGAGTATCAATAACATCTACAAATTACCTGCATAGTAACAGCTAGAGAGCTGGGCAGCTCGCAATTGCTGGATGTCTGAACCAAACAATACTATATCCTACCCGTGTCGACACATGAAATAAACACCACTGGCCCTTCCCCAAGACTCCAAGAAAAACACACAGATAACTCTGGTAAATTCAACACTAAACTAACTCTGTTTAAATGTCTGTCTATTTTCTTACAGAATTTTTAACTTGGAACAAAAATGGATGCAACACACGCCAGCACTTCCTATGCAAGTACAGGCCATAGTGCAAGAGTCAAGCGTCTACCAGCCTTTCATAAACTCTTTCTGCTTCCCTCTCACCTGGTGGCTCATTTAACCATTCTCTGAGAGAGTAAACACAGCAGCCGGCACTGACAGACCTCCAGTGCAGTGGCTATCAGGCCCAGAGAAGTTAGCATGGGGGGACAGCAGCTTCTGGTCTCAGAGCTTAGCATGGGGAGACAACGGCTTCTGGTCTCACTGTTTACTCCTTTCTGGTACTTTTTTTCCCTCTCACTGTCTCATACAACTAGAAATGTGCTTCCTGAACACTGGGTTTCTGTCAAACCAGTAAAGTTTTGGAGCCATAAAAACAGCCAAGAGTGAGCTTCTGTCTGCTTCAAACTCTGTAACCTCTGACCTCCCTGTGTTGCCCACACACATCTCCTTACTTTCCTGTTGTTCGTCCTCCTGCCGTGAAAGGTTTATCAGTTGAGTCCCTACCAGTCTGAAGTGGATCTCTGCCTCCTGTGTCCCTGGCAGCACTCGGCTGGAGCAGAAGAGGCAAACTGTGTACATGCCAGACTCAGAGCAAGGCTGAGGGAGTGGAGTGGCGTTTAGTTGCGAGTTCTGGATCACGGTGCGAGTTGACAGTCACAGATGGTGCAGTGGACTCCAGTGACCTGGAGGCCTTGGGCCTTGCCTCTTCTCGGCCATAAACAAGCTCTGTGACAGTGCTCAGTTCTTTTTGCTCAGAATTTGAGATCCCTTATAGCATATTTGCTCCAGTCATGAGGATATCATTGAACCATAAAACACAGCATCTCCCCCACCCCCAGGTCATGCATCTACAGGGCAGTAGAGAAAGAAAACAGGACTTTCTGGCCATTAAGAAGGGTTACTTTGGTGTGATCATGACCATGTCTGTCAGAGAGAAACACACCCAAGAAGAAAGACTACGTGGGCCTGGCCATACAGTCAGGTTAGGCGGACGGCACTTGTTTTATCCTCCTGACACGGCCGAGCAGTGAGCACAGTTTGCTGTCCTGATCTGGAAAGTTCCTCTATACCTAGAGTGGTCCAATGGCTGAAGGAAAACTGAAGGAAGGGTCAGTGAGGAAAGGGGTAATGAATGAAGCCCCCCTTTCTACTATTAAAGGGAAAAGCATCAGCAATAATCAGCACATTACTCTAATAAGGCCTGTCAGCCACTAAATAAGTTGGAGTCAGGAGGCTTCAGAGGAGGTGACAGCACACACAGAAGGGTCATTTTCACTGAAATGACAACCACCCACTCCAAGGAGGCGCTTGGACAGGCCACTCCCCCAGATCTAGAAGCAGCAGATTCCTCGGTAGAGACAATAGGTAAATGGAGAGTGCAGGCTGACTGGAGCCACGTAGAACCTAAGCAGCAGACCCTGCATTGTTGCCGTGGGAACTAGAACATAAAGGAGTCACAGATGAGTATACCCCTCTAAACAGAAAAACTCATTGTTTCTGGGAAAGGACCCGGGTCTGCTTTCCCTCCTAATCCATTTACATCCCCATGACTGCAAAGGAGAGAGAGACAAAATAAAAATCCAGTAACTGATAACTATGAGCACGTGAAAAGCTCTTAAAATGGGCTTGAGGTAGTTCTGTATAGAGATCACTGTCATTTGGGGGGAGTGTTTGTGGAACAACAAGGACCCTCCTGAAATTTTTGCCATACTGGGCACAGGCATGCCCTGGTGCACAGGTGGTGGACGGCATGCCCTGGCACACAGATGACGGGCATCCTTCTCCATGGACAAATGGCACTCATTAGTTAGAAGGGAGGCTGGTCCACAGCTAACTCCAGAGCTGCGCTGACCTGCTGCTATGCATCCAAAATTTCAGTCATCCTTAGGAATTCAGGCAGATATGCTGTCCCTCATATCTCCAGGGGTACGTGCTGGGTAACAGAAGCTGAGAGGATTGGAGGCTGAGAAGCCATCAACAAGCCGTTGTGGTTAATTCAAAAGAATGGTCTAATAGAGTTTGTTATAGCCCTATAACTATTATGGCAGTTTTATCCTACCTGCTATCACATTCAGTAAAAGACACAGACACCTGATAGAGTTTTAGAACACCTTTATTTTACCTGGGGTATGGCAGATAGTACTTCCTAAGCTGTCTTTATCTCCCAAGCTCCTGTCCCATGCCATCTGCTCTAATCATTTCTGCCTGGGCTACTTCCCATCCATAATCTCAAAATACCTGTTAATGTTCTTCATCTGAGCCAACTTCCTCCATCCATGCCAATCTGGCCATGTGCTTCTCTCCACGTTAACCCATCTAGGCTCTTTCCTTCCTTCCTCCTCCAGTACCTCTCTGCTGCTTCTCCCATGATCCTCTATCCCCAAAGCCCTTGAACTTTAATCACACCTACCTTCATTCAGCTCTGCTCAGGTATAGGCTTTTTATTGGTCAAACGGGAATAATTTCTTGGGCAAGGTATATACAACAAGGACAGGTGAACGTGAGGCAACCAGACCTTGTGGGCCAGTAATTAGCATCAAAATACATAGCAACAGACCAATCCCTACCAATAAGCAAAGATGATCATGTTTGCCATTGTGGGTTGTGCATTTCAGAGAGACTAGAGGGAGGCAGATAAATCAAATAAATAAACAAGCATGAAGAGGTGACAAGCACTGTGGGGAAAGGGCAAAGCTGATTAGGAGCAGAGGCAGGGGGATATTGGGCATCGCATCTTTTTCTTTCTTTCTTTCTTTCTTTCTTTCTTTCTTTCTTTCTTTCTTTCTTTCT